ATGTATTAGTGCAATAGCTTACAAGATAGTTTAGCGATTTACAAAATTATTATTCACTGCAGGCCTACTTATAATCTTTTAACCAGCATTTTCAAAAACACATCGTAAGATTTCCGATATCAAGACACAGCATACTTACACAATAATAGAACCAGTGTGTTTGGTGCAACAGCAGACAACATAGCCTGAGCTATTGCCGACATGAAACTAATTTGAACAATCCACAAATTACTCAAACACAGACCCAGTAATTTTCCGCCTATTAACATTCCTAAAATGAATAAGAACATATTGAAAGTTAAGAAGGGCGAGGGTTTTTGATTTGTTTGCTGTTTGTACTGAAGATGGGTTGAAGAGTAACACCCGAAACATACTATTTATAACCTTAGTTCTTTTCTTAAAATGTGTTGTGTTTTTCATCAATTTACGTCCGTTTGGCCCGGTCCATTATCAAGGATTTTAGTTCGAAAGATGCCTATTTCTCTACTTTTAAGATTATAAGAATTTTAGTTCTTAAAATATACTTACCGAGTCCTGAAAAGAGAGCCCCCGCTGCACTGTAGTATCCAACAATTACAGGAGACCAACAAAATGGCTGACCAAGACCGTAGATTGTTACAAGTGATGTAAAACTTGCCCACATTAGCACATATATGAAGTAAATGGCCAAAACGATCATCAGTCTATATTTACGCTGAGGTTCATTATCACTTTTGCCAAATACTTTTGGAATTTGTTTAAGTTGGTTACACAATGTCTTTGGAGATTCCCTTTCCCCACTAGAACCATGGGTTACCATTCCTTTAACATGATGTGTTTGTTTGGACTCTTTAAGTAGTCCAGGAGTTATGATCCATATTACACAAGCAATACTTAACGAAAATGCTAACCAAAATGTAGCTTTGTAACCTCTGCATTTCAAGAGGTAACCCAGAAAAACCTGGGCGAGTCCAGATGCTGCATAAATTGTTGTTTCTAAAATTATCATCCGAAACATTCGCGGCTTGCTTTGAGTAATATCGGCCATGTATGTGAAGCATGCTGCGTTGAACAGAGTAACATCACCACCAAGACCCTGGATTAAGTTGACACCAATGAGAAAGTAAACACTTAGTTCCATGTAAACAACAACGAGGTATAAACCACAAACAACAACGAATGTAACAGACGGAATCAACATCGCAAATTTACGGCCGTAAACCTCACTCCACGACCCGACGATCATCGACACAAACAACGGTGGGAGACACTCTGCCACAGACATGTACATTACTAAGAGAGACGTCTCTGATTGAATTTGACTGTCTATTTCAGAATCGTGATCACTTTCATTCGAAGAACACTTAGTTCCATTGTCTTCAGGTAATGAAGACGTTACATTGTAACTTTCCGATACACGATGTTTCGTGTATTGCGTCCGCAGCGTCCAGAGAATTCCCATGGCTAGCATTCCAAGTAGCAACACTGGCTCGACAGTGACCATTCGGTACCGAACTGGATGTTTGTCATCTCGTTTGACCTTCTTGAAAGGCATAGTTAAATTAGTCAAAACTGTGAAAATAATATGTGCACGTAGATTTTTTAACGAATGTTTTTATTGTTCTCTTACACGTACTTAGAAATGAATTATACAATATACAATAAAAAAAATCAAACAACCACACTGCTAATGGAAACATTCAGTAGGTCATCGTGTGAACATAGAATAGATGTGTTGTATCTCTTAACAGTCTCTCTTTGGCCCGTTTGATAACTTCCTCGGGAAACAGAACATATTTATGGTAGGCCTATAGGCCTATTCATTCGTTTGAATGAATGAGTCATTCTAAACCTTTGCCCGCCCCCTCTGAATTATGCCAACAGACTTGCCTTATTTTTTATAGGCCAAGGCACGTCGATAATATAATTATTTATTTGAACACCTTTAGATCGGTAGTATTCAAAAGTCATTTGGTACGTTCACACTGAAACAAAATAGACGAATTATGATTCTAAACTACTAGTGCATAATAACAAAATTATTAAACAAAGCGTTTAATTCTTAAGTAAGGGAATAAACGCAAATAACCGTGCTGCTGATAAGGCAGATAGCTCCTCGAAAAACATGAAAAAACAATTGCATGAACCATGCTTCACTTGTCACAAATTCGAAGAGCCACCTATGCCATCAATCAACTCTGCAATAAAGAAAGTGTAAACAAAATTACTTACAACTTTAGCTACAAGTTACTCAGTAATACAGGCACTTAATCTACAACAGGGTTTGAAAATACTGTACAGTACTTAATTTCAGATCTTTGTCACTTCCATAATTTTACAAAATTCATCTAAAATATGCTAAAAGTCTCTAAAATATGCGCTATATAATTCGACAATTATTATTATTATAATTAATGAACTTCAGATGGAAAATAGACTGAATATCCTAGCCAATTAACAGACGTATAATACCGATTATTCTTTGCATAGGCCGTTTAATTATCTGGTAGTCAATTTAAGAACTTTCCTAGTTAAAGAAATGCTAAATTATAGACAAAATTGCACGTCATTTTTTGTCTGTGTCTTATTGAAAGGTGAAAACTTTTATAATTTAGCATTTCTCTTGGAGAAAGAGTTAAGAATCCTAAAACGTAACTTAATTTAATATTAATATTACCATTCCAAAATTGATCCCAAACATCAATATTATTATTTATTTTATATTCATGTTTATTTAACTCATTTAACGTATGTGCGACAAATACATAAAAAGTGGGGTTTTTTTCATTATTTGTATTTCGAAGGGTACATAGACATTTTTGTCTTCAGATAGAACTCTATACTCTATCAAGGGCAATGTATTATAAACGAAGTTAAAATATTACCATTCCAAAATTGATCCCAAACATCAATATTATTATTTAATTTATATTCATGTTTATTTAACTCATTTAACGTATGTGCGACAAATACATAAAAAGTGGGGTTTTTTTTCATTATTTGTATTTCGAAGGTACATAGACATTTTTGTCTTCAGATAGAACTCTATACTCTATCAAGGGCAATGTATTATGAACGAAGTTAAAATTTAAATGATACACCTTCAAAATCTAATTTATCTGCTAAAGAACTTTCTCATTTAATTGTATCTTTAAATAATGAGTAATCAGCGAGGGATACCTTACTTTCAATATCCTCTCTCCAGTTATTATTGTAATAATAGCATTTTTAAAACAAAATTTAACGACAAAAAGGCTAATTATTGCTTAGCTCTACACACAGTGGGCTTATTGATAAGTTAATTAATTACTTACTTCCTCTCACTTCTTTGGTGTTTCTGTTGATAAGTTTTTCAAATCATTTGATTTTAAAAATGGTTCCATGATGGACCCGGAACGTCGATCCTTTTTGTCATTAAATTTGTTTTGAATATATAGTAAGCGTCATTGGCCCACCAGGACGACCCTGGGCCAAACATGAGTATTGTTTATGCATGAGATAAACATTGTTATAATGATGGATACATGACAATCCAGTAATCGAACGTTTAAGTTTATAGGGTTACTGTTCTATTCAGTTACAATTACAACTTGTTTCTACCACAAGAGGTTATCAACAATATGTACTACCTTTCATCCCTGCTATAAGACTACAACCATCATAACGACCATACTTTTGGGTGTGACTTCACTTGCTATATTACTAAGCTCCAATATAAACAACTCTACCACAATTGTACTATAGTAAATTCGTCTTCATTAATGTTTTATTATATTATCACGATCAAAACCTCACAATTGTCATATAATTGAACGCTTACCTTTGATATTTATTGGTCTTTATTGAAGAGATACGGTAGCTGACGTTATGATAACAATGATATTTGCATAAAAAGAAGCTGACAGTTTCAGTTTCTTTTCAGTTTCAGTTTCTTTTATCAGGGGCAGATTCAGGGATGTCCGAAAAACAACAGTACTCTAGGGGATTCGGGGACGTGCCCTGCGAAATTGTGGTTTTATAGAATCCCAGAAACAACTTCTGAGGCGTTTTGGGCGATCAATAATTTCTTTTTCTTTCTATATTTTTTTGTTACTTTCCAAAAAGTGGTGTGGGAGGGGGGCGGACAGACCGGCTCACCCCCCACCCTACATCCTCCCCTATTTATTCACATCGGAACTGCAGCCAAGGCTGAATTACATGATAGGGCTTTTAACAATAATACATTACAAAATAATAAAAATTAAAAAAAAATAATAACAAAACATATTGTATTACGATAACTCGCCTGTGCCACGCGTCAAATGGATTCCTCCAACCCCAACACGTAAATGTTCTCCTGGCCAATTTTTTTTAAACAGTGGAAAATATCCTTTAATTTATTATGCATAGTTTAGTCAATGTTTTTTTTATTTTAAATACAGTAACAGCAATAAAAGCAAAAGCAGAGTATCAAATTCACCGACCATTTTATTTTTAATTTATAAGGAAATGAAATGATTATTTATTATTTGCTAGGCGAGACTTCTTTTGTACCTTGTTTAGCGAACGCCGCCCGTCAATAATGATGATTTCCGAATACAAATAAAATTTTATTTTTTGTCCATTTAGCGCACCCACCGCCACCAAAAAATGTGGAACTTTCTGAAAAAAATAAAGGTTTTCTTTACTTTCATTACACCAGCCGCAGCCTTGAAATCTCCAAAATAAGATAGGCCTATGTATATTTCTTCCTAATTATATAAATTTAAAGCATTTAACCATCCCGTTACCACACTCAATGCAGTAGCCAGCTTGGTACGACCTACAAGATTTATTTTGCCTTGTTGTGCTCTACATAATGGTTATCCTATACATAAGTATTGTTATACTAGAAACAGTAGGCCTACTTTTGCTCTGTTTCCTCTTCAGTAAAAATATATATTTTTTAATTTTTTTTTTAACGAATTAAATAGACGAAGCAAGCTTCTATTAAGGCATGTGTCATATTTTCTGGTGTTTAGCACCATTGCGTACTACACTCCTCTGATTATTCTGAAAGTTCTTGAAGTGCCATTTTGCTGTATTAATGTATTAATTGGCTACTTCGTAGAAACACACCCAATTGGATGGAATCGAATGTTCTGCAATTTATTAATGTTTGTATACATGTATGTACAAATTTGTTATACATTTTTTTGTAAATGGATCGATTCTTTCCACCATATCGTAAGGTTGGGTGTAATGCCTAATGGTTGGTATTTTTCAAAGTTAATCTTAATTGACTACAAAATCATTTTGACTCATGTTTGGCAACTTATAAACTGGCTTAATTTCCAGCAAGCTTTCTTTCTATTCCGGTGTATGGATCGAGTGGAATGGCGTCTCAAACTACAGCCATAATATCGGCACTGGTTCGAACGACACCTTCCTTATGGCTCTGGTGGAACAAAGTCTTTTCGGATAGGGACTATAAACTGTAGGCCCAGTGTGCACATGTGCACTATAGGCCCCTATAAGAACGCAGTACATCTTTCGAAACGGTTAGGGGTTACTCCGTTGTACCGGCCAGCTTATACACGAAGAGATCTTGAGGGGTGAAGAAAGTTACTGTATGTGAGACTGTAGTCCACGCGCTTTGAGCGCTCTGATCTTCATTTAAAAAAAAACTAGGCCTATATATAAATGATGTTATGTATATTGTAATTAAATTATTAAAATCGGGCTGAATTCTCTTGTATGTCATCTTGATGATCTGCACAGGACTTGCTACAACAACGGTAGCTTTGTTCGTTGGTAGGTCTAAGATTTACCTAAAGTAAAAAGTTATTATTACGGTATTATTATATATATTGTAGGCCATGTTTGTTTGTATTTATATGGTCTGAAAATGATCTCTCTTTTAGTGGTGGTAATCGCATTCCCATAGCCCTATTCATGTCTAACCTTTCGAAGACTGTAGGTGAAAATGAACAAGGTAGGCCTTTTATAGGTAGCTAATAAAGGTCATATTTATTTCGGCTCGGGCCTATCTGGATACAACAAATAAAGCCTATTCGTATTAACATTACAGAATAAACTTTACTTTGTTGAATACTGTTTTAGATAATAATCGGCATATTATTTATTATAGAGATCATCCATCGATTGTATAAAGTACTTAACAACTAAATACATTATCTAACTACAGGTACATTATTTGCATTTGTCTGTGCCCTGGAAGGCCTGGGAGTGTTCTCAACACCGCTAATACTTAATTGGGCAAAATTACTTCTGAGACCTACCCACTTACGCACCAGCCGTATTCTTTACAATAACTGGAATATTAGAGGTAGCTATGGTGTTTCTTTTGTAGGGTAGGTAACTGCAATGAAATTATTCACACGTTCATTTAGAAACAGAGTTAAACATGATTATTTAAATAGAGCTAAAATATTTTTTTTTTGTATTATTCACTTTAAAAAAAACATTATAGACTAATTTATCTTAGACTTATTGTGCAATTCTTCTTCTTCTTCTTCTCCGTTTGGGCCAACTTCATAATTGAAGGCTTCAGGGTCTTCTCTCGATTGATCCACATTATTTACAATCTTTGAATATTCAGTGTTTTTCCATGTCAATTGGAGTACGCTGCAGAAAAAAAGTTTCATTATTTGAACTATTAAGAATATATTTACAAATAAGTTAAGCCATTTATCATTTACAAACACACAATCGGATAGGGATGTTCGGTTTTATACTTTGAGCGTTTGTTGGCACGTTGAAATATTGAAATTGGGGATATTGAAGGCATTTGGTTTTAGTGTACCCACCTGGTAAGACATATGGGTACTGTACATAATACTGCAACGAGGTAGAACGTAAATTGTCGATGAAACGATGTCGTAGCTGAGTATATTGAGTACAGCAAAAGAGGTGACAGGAATCCTGCGATGGATTGGACACTGGCTAAAGTTGCAAATGCTACACCTTTAAGAACAAATGTTATCAGATATTTTACTGCATTCTATTTACGAAGATTTCAAGCCATAGAGATAATAAGACACTAGCAGAGAGTAGCTCGTTGGTTTACTTGCCACTGTTTTAACACACAAATAACTTCTATCTACGGTATATACAGTAAATCGTCAGCGGCCTGTTAAGAGATACATGCATAACTGCGAAGTATTATCTTTCAATGGGCGGAGAACCGGGTGTTCATTTTTAATGTAGTTGGGTAAAATCCTATGAGAAACCAGGATATTTCTCTTCTGATTAGGCCTAACCATTAGGATGAGATATATAGGCCTAACCATTTTAATGAGATATATGAGCCTACCTTAAACGGTACCATTCCATCCTGTGACTAGTACAGGTAATATTGGATGTCAAAATCCAATCTGAGTAGGCCTACTCGATAAAGGAATACTAAATACTAAATATTATTAATTACCATGTTCGTTTTCAGAAACAAGATCAGCAGTCATGGTTTTCGTCAAAGGCGATGCAAGTGCCCTCAGGGACCCTGCCACTGTTGCTGCGATCGTTCAAAATTTAGAAGATATACCAATATAAGTAAAAATTACATATCTAAATGTATATATATATATATTATATATATATATATATAATAAATATAATAAATATATGAAGAAATCGGTTTAGAAAGGAGACCTATGTATTAGTGCAACAGCTTACAAGATTGGTATTCACTGCAGGCCTATTTATAATCTTTCAACCAGAAACATTTTAAAAAACACATCGTAAAATTTCCGATATCAAGACACAGCATACTTACACAATAATAGAACCAGTGTGTTTGGTGCAACAGCAGACAACATAGCCTGAGCTATTGACGACATAAAACTTATTTGAACAATCCACAAATTACTCAAACACAGACTCAGCAATTTTCCGCCTATTAACATTCCTAGAATGAACATATTAAAAGTTAAGAAGGGCGAGGATTTTTAATTTTTTTTTCTGTTTGTACTGAAGATGGGTTGAAGGGTAACACCCGAAACATATTATTAACCTTAGTTCTTTTCTTAAATGTGTTGTTGTGTTTTTTTGTTTTTGTTTGTTTTTTTGTTTTTTATTGTTTTTATCAATTCACGTCCGTTTGGGTTTATTATCAAGGACTTTAGTTCCAAAGATCTGCCTATTTGTCTACTCGAGAAGATTAAAAGAATTTTAGCCTAGTAAAAATAATCTAAAGTTCATAAAATATACTTACCGAGTCCTGGAAAGAGAGCCCCCGCTGCACTGTAGTATCCAACAATTACAGGAGACCAACAAAATGGCTGACCAAGACCGTAGATTGTTACAAGTGATGTAAAACTTGCCCAAATTAGCACATATATGAAGTAAATGGCCAAAACGATCATCAGTCTATATTGACGCCGAGGTTCATTATCTCTTTTGCCAAATACTTTTGGAATTTGTTTAAGTTGGTTACACAATGCCTTTGGAGATTCCCTTTCCCCACTAGAACCATGGGTCACCGTTCCTTTAACATGATGTGTTTGTTTGGACTCTTTAAGTAGTCCAGGAGTTATGATCCATATTACACAAGCAAGACTTAAAGAAAATGCCAACCAAAATGAAGCTTTGTAACCCCTGAATTTCAAGAGGTAACCCAGAAAAACCTGAGAGAGTCCAGATGCTGCATAACTTGCTGTTTCTAAAATTATCATACGAAACATTCGCGACTTGTTTTGAGTAATATCGGCCATGTATGTGAAGCATGCTGCGTTGAACAGAGCAACATCACCACCAAGACCCTGGATTAAGTTGACACCAATGAGAAAGTAAACACTTAGTTTCATGTAAACAACAACGAGGTATAAACCACAAACAACAACGAATGTAACAGACGGGATCAACATCGCAAATTTACGGCCGTAAACCTCACTCCACGACCCGACGATCATCGACACAAACAACGGTGGGAGACACTCTGCCACAGACATGTACATTACTAAAAGAGACGTCTCTGATTGAATTTGACTGTCTATTTCAGAATCTCGATCACTTTCATTCGAAGAACAAGTTCCATTGGCTTTAGATACCGAAGACGTCACATTGTAACTTTCCGATACACGAAGTTTCGTGTATTGCGTCCGCAGCGTCCAGAGAATTCTTACGGCTAGCATACCAAGTAACAACACTGGTTCGACAGTAACCATTCGGGACCGGACTAGCTGTGTGTCATCTCGTTTGACCTTCTTGAAAGGCATAGTTAAATTAGTCAAAACTGTGAAAATAATATGTGCACGTAGATTTTTTAACGAATGTTTTTATTGTTCTCTTTACACGTACTTATAAATGAATTATACAATATACAATAAAAGAAATCAAACAGCCACAATAATAAATGGAAACATGCAGTAGGTCATCGGGTGCACATAGAATAAATATGTTGTATTTCTTAACAGTCTCTCTTTGCCCGGTTAAACTTCTTCGGGAAACAGACCATATTTATGGTAGGCCTATAGGCCTATTCATTCGTTTGAATGAATGAGTCATTCTAAACCTTTGCCTGCCTTCTCTGATTTATGCCATTATACTTACCTTATTTATATAGGCCAAGGCACGTCGATAATATAATTATTTATTCGAGCATCTTTAGATCGATGGCACTCAAAAATAATTTGGTACGTTCAGTCATTGAAAGAAAATAAACGAATTAAGATTCTGAACTACTAGTGCATAACAACAAAATTAATAAATATCAATTAAAACTTTATATCTCTGGATAAAGCAGAAAACAAAAGAACTTACGTTTTAAGTTCTTTTGTTTTCTGCTTTATCCAGAGATATAAAGTTTTAATTGATATTTATTATTGTCAACCTGGATAGATGAATCTACATCAGTCGAATAACAAAATTATTAAACAAAAACGTTCAATTCTTAAGTAAGGAAATAAACACAAATAACAGTGCTGCTGATAAGGCAGGTAGCTCCTCGAAAAACATGAAAAGGAAAATAATTACATGAAGAACATATGCTTCACTTGGAAAGTGAAAACAAATTTAATTTTACAAGTCAGCTACAAATTAGGCCTACTCAATAATATAGACAGGGGCATACTTAATCTACAACAGGGTTTGAAAATACTTCAGGAAAGCGTGACAAATACATACCGTAAAAAATTGTTTTCATTATTTGCATTTCAAAGGGCAAATAGACATTTTTGTATTTCAGATAGAAACTCCTATACTATATCTAAGGGCATTGTATTATTAGCGACGTTTAAATTTAAATGATACACCTTCAAAATATAATTTATGTAATAAAGAATTTTCTAATTTAATTGTACCTTTAAATAATGAATAATCAGTGAGGGATTCCTTACTTTCAAAATCCTCTCTCCAGTTATTATTGTAATAATAGTATTTTCAATACAAAATTTAATGACAAAAAGGCAAATTATTGCTTAGCTCTACATACAAAGTGGGATTATTGATATGTTAATTAATTACTTATTCCTGTCACCTCTTTGAGGTTTCTGTTGATAGGTTTTTCAAATCGTTTGATCTTGAAAATGGTTCCATGATGATGGACCTCAAACGTTGATCCTTTTTGTCATTAAATTTGTTTTGAAATTCTATATAATAGCAACTACCTTTCATACCCGCTACTAGTAATGCCATAAGACTACAACCATCATACGACCATACTTTGTGGTGTGACTTCACTTGCTATATGACTATAAGCTCTAATAAACAACTCTACCATAATTGTACTGTAGTTACTTTGTCTCGTCTTCATTATTGTCCTGTTATATTATCACAATCAAAATATCACAATTGTCATATAATTGAATGCTTACCTTTGATATTTATTGGTTTGTATTGAAGAGATACGGTAGCTGAAGTTATGATAAAAATTATATTTGCATTCAATATTAAAAGAATGTATAGGTCTAGATAACAGTTTCAGTTTCTTTTCAGTTTCAGTTTTTCAGGGGCGGATCCAGCGATGTCCGAAAAGGGGGGGGGGAGGAGGGGCGAAGTGGAAGAGATCGAGAGACAACAGTACTTAGGGGGTCCGGGGACATTTCTAGATGCCCAGAAAAAAACTTCTGAGGCGTTTTGGGCGATCAATAAATTCTTTTTCTTCTATCCTTTTTTTCTTACTTTCCAAAAAGTGTGTGTGTGGGGGGGGGGGGGGGGCTCACTCCCCCCTCCCCCCTTCCCATGCTAAATTTACACTAGACATCATAACGACACAACGACATATCATCGCGTACGGTAGTTTGTATTCTTCAACACTGCGCGCATCCGAATCGTGTCGTTGTCGTGTCGTCTAGTGTAAATGTAACTTTAATATTCCCCTATTTATTCACATTAGAACCGCAGCCAAGGCTGAATTACATGATAGGCCTAATTAAAAAAATTACATGATAGGCCTCATTAAACAATTTTAAAAAATTGTAAAAAATAATATTGTATACGATAACTCGCCTGTGCCACGCGTCAAATGTGTTCCTTGGACCTCAACACGTTAATGTTCTCCTGGCCAATTTTTTTTTAAACAGTGGAAAATATCCTTTAATTTATTATGCATAGTTTAGTCAATGTTTTTTTTAATACACTAACAACAATAAAACTAAAAGCAGAGAATTAATTTCACCGAACAATCCATCTTTTTTTTTTACCAGGAAGTGAAATGATTATTTATTATTTGCTAGGCGAGACTTCGTACATTGTTTAGCGAACGCCGCCCGTCGTCAATAATGATGATTTCGAATACAAATAAAATTTTATATTTGTCTAGTTAGCGCACCCACGCCTAAAAAATGTGAAACTTTCAGAAAAAAAAAATAAAGGTTTTCTTTACTTCCATTACGCTGCCGCTGCCTTGAAATCTCCAAAATAAGATAGGCCTATGTATATTTCTTCCTAATTACCGTACTCGCGCGAATAAGCGCCCCGTTTGAATAATAAGCGCCCCTCTCGAATAACCGCCCCGCGAAAATTTCCCATAAGCGCCCCGTTTTTTTTTTAGCAAGTCAATATTCCAATCAATCCTGTGACTGTGGTTGTTGGCAAGATTTGAGCTGTAGAGTGGAAACACATTCTTCTTCAGTCAATATCAAAATGAGGATATTTCTCTTGGACAGATGAGTGCTCCGATCCCTGGACATACAGTATATTTCCAACTTTAATCTTTTTACATATTTGTCTATGTCTAGTCCTACTCCTCTTTTTTTCGACCTTATAAGCACATTCTCATCTGAGTTTTCAAGAAAAATACAATGATCCTGCCATCCTGCTAATCTCAATTGGCCGATGGCCAACAAGCTAACCACTACCACCACTAATTGCATCTGCTCTCTCTTATACACATTTAGATGTGTATAAGAGACAGTTTTCTTACTTTCCAAAAAGTGTGTCCCCATTCGTAATGTCCATATATAATCTTTTTTTTTTTCATTCAAAAAGTGCCTCTTGAATTTTTAATTATTAAAATAATATCCCATAAGAACCCCTTGATTTTCATCTATTTCTATAAGCGCCCCCTCTGTTTTCCACTCTGTTTTCATAAGCGCCCGTTTGAATAAGCGCCCGGGCGCTTATTCGCGCGAGTACGGTATATAAATTTAAAGCATTAACCATCCCGTTACCACACTCAATGCCGTAGCCAGCTTGGGACAGTCGAGACAGTAGGCCTACTACACACTTTTTCTAATAGTCCACTATATAATGTCCACAAATAATGTTGGCAACATTATTTGAATTTACGCGTAAAGTGGGTCCACCCTAATATTGTGTACCACACAATTTGAAAATCCTGACTACAGTATTGACTACACTGCTTACATTGGGTCGAGATTCCTCATATTTTGCGTAAAAATGAGTCAATTTTTCAGAAAATTGGTGCAGTAAAAATGATCCACGTATTTGAATTTACTACTACTACTACTACTACTACTACTACCACTACCACTAC